AGGCTTGGGAGCGGCAGGCCTCACGAATCCTGGTGCAACAGGCCCAGGAAGAACCCCGGCGGGGACGGGATGGAGGACGGCGGCAGCACGGGCGGCACGGGCCTCCCTGATGGCCCCCAGCGCCTCCTGCAGCGGGTCGAACGTGTTCCCGCAGTGCATGCACGCCAGCATGTCCTCGTCCCCCTCCTTGAACCTCGAAGGGAAGATCCAGCCACGGCAGCCCTCCGTCGCGCACACCTGGCACGGCCCCTGCTTGCTCTTCACCATAGCGGCGGCAGGGACGGCAGAGACGGCGCGCGCACAAAAGCTGGCGGGAGGCTGGGCCCGAGGCTGAGGATGGATGGAAAAAAGGCATGGGTGGCAGAGAGGCGGACTAGGGAAGGATCCCCAAGCCGAAGGGGCACGCTATGCCACGGCAGCCCTGCGCCGCGACCCCAGCACTCTGGCGCAGGGGCCCTTCCACCTGGAGGCCTCCCCTAGGGTGCGAGAAAGACGGAATGCGATCTCCCCCACAGCTCCTCTGAACTGCTGCACTCCCTCTTCTTCTCATTACTGTACTATATACTATCCAGGTATGTTAAAGGGCTAGATCCTACTGATCTTGGCACTTGAACCTGGGAGCATGCCTTTCCTAAGCTTCCTGAGCTCACTGCTTGTCTTCCTGGTACAACCCCTGGGGTCAGTAAGCTTCTTCGAACCACGATGCGTACTGAAACCTCCGCAGTGGTTGCAGAAGATAACAGGGGGTCCTGAGTCAAGCCAGTCTACATACAGTGAGTGATTAAGCCTCCTACGCTGCTTGATCACCTCCCCCATGGCTGGTGACATGGCCCGGCAGTCAAACTTCGACCCGGGAGAGACAATCCTTAAGCAGCTGAGGCACCGATATCTCTGCCCATCCCAAACTGGCTGGTGTAGCTCGGCAAACGGTCTTGGCGGTGAAAGTCTAGGCTCCTTGGGCAGCTTCTGCAGCTCTCCCCAAAAGCTCCTCGGACTTCGGCCAGGACCCCAGGATCTTACCGGCCCCAAACAAAACATACAAGTAGAGGTCATGGGCTGCAACATGTTATTCGACTACTGCGGGTGCTGGGCGATGGCCACGCGCCCTTTGCCCTGCATAGCGATCTGCTGCCATGTTGCCTAAGATGTACCTCCTGTCTAGCTCGTTGACTGCCTGCGGCTCCTTCCTGTGGCCCTTAGTCTTGACGAAGTGCAGCCGTTCTCCCACAGGGAGCGCACGGCTGATGCGCCTCCAGCCCCTGGAGAAAGGAGATCTACCATCAATACAGTATTTTATTGATTTGCGGATAAGGGCCGCACAATCTACAACGAAAGTGTTCGCGGGGGCTGCTTTGGAGCGCAGTACTGCCATGAGTAGCCCCCCGTGCTCCCCGTCGCCTGCGGTCTGCCCCCCGAAAGACGGCAGGCCCCCAAATATTGCCCGCTTGAGTGAGTTGTCATCGTTCAATTCTACTGCGGACGAACCTGCACGGGCAAGGTGGCGAATTTCGGGGTCAAAGCACAAACCATCCGCGAAGATTTCGCTGTAGGGTTCGAACTCGAAGGGGTCGCAGGGCCCATTGGCATCTGCATACCGAGTATCCCATTCTTCCAGCAGTGGTTCGAGCTGTATTCTGGGAGGCCAGAGGTGCGAATCGAAAGCCGACTCTTCTGAAGCCCCTTCGATGACATCAGGGCCCATGACTTCTTCCCTGAACTCTTTCCCGAAGGGGAGCGTCCATAGCCTGTGGCACTGTGCATCCACCTCCAGACAGTAGGGGCAAGACGGTTGTAGGTCGCAACCCCGGCCTGACAGAACCTTACCTGTGATAAGGGAGCCGCAAATGTAGTGCCTAAGGCTGGTGTACTCGTCGGGGGTGAGCTGCTTTCGCCCGCG